GTGCGGCTAGTTATTACTTACGGCGCGCTTACAGCCAACACTATACCACACAACGGAAAACGAGCAATCTGATTGTTCAGATTTCTTTCTTCGTCTCGTCCATTGTAGTGACAAGATTAATATTGTTATTGTGAATCAAAGTAATGGTATAATTATCGTGATATTTCGGAAGATGATAAAGGGCTGTTTTGTTCAATTTCGTGAGCTCTACCCGCACACTAACGTTGGTAAGCACTGTGTACATTCCGTACATATTTTCCAATGACAGAAATATATAATAAAGAGATTGTAAAACTGAGTACAAGAATCCTGTACCATATTGTAATCAATGAGATGTTAATAAAATTAAGATCTCCACACGCGCCCCTAATAAATATTAAATGGCCGATGCTGTACATAAAGGGGAACTTTTCTCTAAATTATACCTTGGAATGATCGGTCCGCGAATTCTCCGTGCGTTTAATGTCACGCGGGAAGCGCTATTCGAGCGGTGATAAAAAGGATTATCTCTTTTATCGTTATCTTGCGCGTAATCCCACCTACAGCCGTAATCATTTGCATAGCGACATAGAGTCCTCAAATATGCTAAGCACCGCGCACACGCGTAATGCGCGTTACACGGATAGGCGTGTAGACGGTGACACGCGTTGACATTCGTCATTGTTCCGGCTTAATTACACTTTCTTTCAGCGGGACAAAAAAATTTCGCCACTGTCAAACGCGCTGCTCGCCCGCGCTTTCCTCATACCCCCATCCAGCCCGATTCTCGCTTCTACCCCTCGGTGTTGCATCCACGCGAGCAAGGGGTGACGCTCGTGTAAACCGCGTGTACGGCCGTCCGCCGACACCTGTTTACTCCCTACGGACGGTCGTGTGCACGCACGGTGAAAACGGTTGGTTTACGGGGGCGACGAAATCGTCTTGTTTGAGCCGGTAGCTTTGATTAAGGTGTTTTATTATGCCAATTAATAACGTTATCGTTACGCAACGCGAAGGAACAACGGGAGGAGAACGGGTTCCTTTTGGCCAGTGTGAAACGAAAAGGTCAATCGGACGAAAAGAAATACTAATTATATTGATTCAATTGGTATATCACGCTTTACAATTGCCAATTAAGTGTACAATCATTCGCTTCGCATGAGATAACCATATTCTTCCCAACAGAAGACAAGTTTATCGTCGTCTATTATTCAGAAATGCGTGGATCGTTATTTCACGAACGCCCGCTCGCACGGAGTAAATTTATCGACGCGCGCAAAAAGAGGATAGAACTGTGTATGTGTTGTGTGCGTTTGAGAATGTTAATAATGTAATCAAACCAAATTGGAATCGTATTGAAAAAATTAAAGCTCGCAAATTGTCGAAATGTACACCGTACAACGAGTGCGCGCACCGATCAACGGCGGATAATACGTAATGAGAGGGTAATACGCCGGGAAATGGTATGAGAAATTCGGTGCGTACGCACGATGGCGCACGTAGCCGGTGTGTGTACGCGTACGTGTGTGTTCTTTTTCGCCTTTCGGGCGAGAGAATAATTAAAGGCACAAAAGGGAGCGCCCAGCGAATTACTCGGCCGCTGCGCTCGGGCGGCGGCAGCGACGGCGACGGCGGCGGCGCGATTGGACGGTCGTTCTCATTCCGAGATTCTCCTTGAACGCGAGGTCCACGTCAGACGCGGAAACGTTCAAAGGGTTTCCGCGGGGGGACGGGAGGAAAAAACTAATTAACTTTTCGGAATAATTAAGATAAGGCCGTTGGAGATCCGGCCGATCGGCCGACCCTACGCTAAGCCGCGCGCCGCGCTTCCTCTTTGCTCTTCACGGTAGAGGAGCCGAGTCGAATCGGGCCGAGGGTCCCTCTGGAAATGGTGATCGGTCGATTAAATCGTTTGCATGAGAAGGGAGCTGGGCGCGAATCTTAAGCGCGCGAGAACGCGCGCAAGAAGTCCCGTAAAATTACGCGCCGTGGAGAGGCGACGCGGTGGCCGATTTTATTATCAGATTAGCACGTGTTCTCTACGTTAAAGTATTAATTACGGCAGAATAACGAATTCGCTATTTTACAGAGAGGCCACGATGAATATTTTCGATACTCTATATCGAGAGAATATGCGAGAAAAGATCCATTAATACAAATTAACAATATTTGATATTAGAGAATATCAATTTACACATGACGAAATTCACTGGCTTGCCCCTGCAGATGTAACGCTCTTCGAATGGGTTATTTGGAGTAATAAAGACATCTGAGTTTGGGAGACAAATCATACAAAATATATCGACTTGACACCGATAAGTACGAAACAAAAGGGTGACGCGATCGAGACGACGCGCTCACCTACGAAGGCAAGAGCGCGCGAGCTGGACTGTTGGATTAAGAAAGTCTGGCAAGAATTTCAATAAGAGGCGCCAAGCAGAATTTGCCGACAAGCAATTAGGGACATTGCTATTGACCGACTCCCGATAAAGTTAAATTAAAGTGAAATCAAAGACGCGCGCGCGTACTCAACTTCCGAGGTACCTCGGGATTTTTCTTCTATCGCTGCTGTCGACTTAACTTCCAAGCTGCTTCGCGACAGCTTGGCCCCGGCGACGAGCTTTCCGTCCGACTACTCGATTCGCGATGCGGGGAGCGATGCGCTCTCGACAATGATGCACATTCGTCTGATGAACGCAAGACTATCAACAGGGCATTTACACGATCTACCGCCTCTCGTCGCGTCTTCTGTCCAATTATCAGCGTCGGTAGACGGGGCCCTCCTACCTCTCTCACGCGCCCACTTCAATTCCTGCCGCGTACAGCCCGCAATAAAGCCTCGCCTCTAAAAGCGAGGTAGATGCACTTTACACGAGAGAGCGGCTCTCGCGTGACACGAATAAAAGTCTTATTGCATGCCGGGGGACGAGCGAGCGAGAGGAGGCAAGAAAGTAGTCGAGCGCGACGACTGGGCCGCCGCCGCCGTCGACGCCGCACCGACGCCGTCGTCGACGTGCACACAGGCGCACCGCTGATAATTAGCGAGCGAGCGCCGCGACGTAGGACTGATAATTCTCAACAATGGTTCATTACTGTCGTTTAAATGTGCACGACAAGTGCATTCGAGTGGCCGTGCCCGGCGGAGGCTCTGCCTATCTGGCTATTTCCATATATCCTTCATTGTCCTCTTTGTGCGCGGCTAACTATAGATTCGCGAAACTGACATTTTTATGATGGAACAATGGGGTCGAGAGCGGATGGAGGAGAGGACACGGAGAACGCGGAGACGCGCGCGGAGACCAATCCGACGTGAACCAGAGCATCGTTAGCCAAGTATAATAAATAGGCTGCCGTGTACGACTCGCGACAGCCGAACACAATTCACTATTTGTATTGTTATGCTTTATTCCCCGAGTGGCCGAAAAGTGCCGCAGAGTCGGCTGTCACCGTGGCTCAATGAGGGATTTTTTTAAGTTGTCTGAGAGAACAAAATTGATGTCGCATGTAAGTCAGAATAATGAGGAGATGGGCCTGAATAAGTTACAGGACCGGTCAAATTCATTCAGTCGATCATGTCCGACATGAAGTTTAATTCACTTAGACACACTAAAAACGCGCTACATCATTCATCCCTAAATCTTAAATAATCTCTCGCATCATCAGAATATAATACCTTCGCGCGATGACTTTTGTCACCGGCAATCAGTGCGATTTGCGTCTACTGCATGTAGTGCGTAATGTGACGTCACGTGGGCGTTTGAATTGTACACTCACCACTTGGCGTTGATATCCAACGGCGTCCAACCCCGTCCAGATCCAACCCCGACGCTCCGCATCTGTCCAGCATCCGCAACATCCAGCCGTCGTCCCACGTTGGCTGCACTTCAATCACTACCCTACATTGCGTTCGCGAGTTACAACACGTACTCGATGGCGTTTAACGATTGTGAACGAAAAGTCTCACAAATCCCGAAAAGATCAAATACGATACTTCGCAAATACACTCGCGAATCGTATGTAAACAAATGGCACGTCAAAGACCGTGCCGCGCTCGACAACAAAAAAAGAAAATATTTCGCGAACGATATTGTGTTATATAGAAAAAATGGGATTCTTGTTCCGCGAGAATTTTAGCTTATGATCCCATCTTTGAACTATACTTTTGATTTTGACCGAAATTACGACTCGGTACGAATGCAAGAATTTACGAAATTGACGATCGTAAAGACTACAAAATTTATTGAGTGCGAAATGACAACGTAACTCGTCAGATGTGAAAAATTTCGAAGATTCTCACGATAATTTTTGAAATACGTAAAAATGTCTAAATTTTGCGCATTTCTCTCTGATTTTCCGCGACGATTCTTAAATTTATCGCGAGCAAAGTAATTATGAATTTCACATGCGGGGAATCACGCAATTTTGAAGCACAATTCTAATGCACCATTTTGAGGCGCAATTTTGATGCGCTATTCTGAAGCGCAATTATGATGCACTATTCTGAAGCGCAATTTTGAGGCGCAATTTCGATATATTTTTTACACTGCTTGAAACTATTGGGGAATAATACTGAACAAGTAATTCCGCAAAAAAAAATTATGCATTTCAAATTAGATATGAATCCAAATACTGGTAAATAAGACAGTTATTTTTAAAGAAAAAATCCCTGAATGTTTCTAGCAGCGTATTTGAATGGACGGCACGAAACACATACATGCAAAACCCTACACTGAGAGTAAAATGTTTGACACTTGTGATGGCAATTGTGTAGTGAATTAGTTAAAACTGCCATACGTTTTTGTGATAATAAACTACTGTTGTGATAATAACCATATGTGCATATTGTTATTACTAGAACAACAAAAAATCTAGTTGGTGTCGAAAATAATTATAGTGATTTATAGTAAGAACAATTTTTTTTTCTCTCAGTGCATGTGCAGAAAAACTACAATCGCACTGATTTCGCGTTGATAAAAACCAACCACCAAAAAATCTACCTCAAATCTTTGTTTCTGACTCACCGGAATAGCAGAAACTCAGAATCGACCACGTTCTGCTACAGTTCTGGAACAAAGGAAATAGCATTGCCGATTAGATACAGTAGTTTTGCTTGGCGAAAAAAGATACGCGTAGATACGAGCTTGTTGATCTTTTACGATCGTTCAAATTTAACTATTCGTACTCTGTTCTAAGTTTTAATCGCAAAAGGTTTAATGTGAAAGTACGAGAAGTTTGTAAATCTACCTTCGAATTGACTCTGCTCGGCCCGATCCTCCGGTGCAGCATCCACATGAACCGAAATTGCATCTCCCAGGAACTGCATACACGTGCAAGCTTCGTCAGACAAAAAATAAATTTCCTGATTATTAATATAAAAATGTAAACATATTAATAACAAGGAGGCTCAAAAAACTGTGTATTCCTTTTTAAATTAATAAATATGAGAAGTGATAGCTACCCTTAGTGTTAGGACATGCCACTATTTGCTCAAAATAATCGTAGCGCGATGAACGCACGTGCGAAATGACGTAACGCGTCTCACACATACTTCGATCAATTCGGAAAAGTCGGAAATCACGCGCAACGCTCCCGACCCGTCTACCGACGCGTCAAGGATTGTTGTGATCGCTCGGCGGTTTCGTACTCAGGTGTGTTATTGTTCCCCAAGTGTCACGTGATCTCCAGCCGGCGGAACGTGCTCGAGAGTACCATTTCGTTATGTAATCGAAAATTTAACGTTCTCTATACCGTGTTGTCAATATCATACACGATTTTGCAGTTTTTAATTTCCCTTCAACAACCAAACTGTCAGAACGCACAGCCTCCTCGTGTGTACGTTTTAAACTTTCTCTTTAAATGTGAACAGTATAAGATAAGAGATACGGATATGTCTAAATAGTTGATTGACGATCGCAAATGCTAATAAGTCTAAAATTCGTTGAGCCGGCAAACACGATTTTCGCAGTCTGACGCGATTCCACAGCGTCGACGGATTTTTCGTTGGGGTCCTGAAAGAAATTGGCCATGTCCCAGGGAACGATGTCCTCCAGAATAAAATCACGGCAGTCTCGATAGAAATTACGAGAGACACTCGTCGTAGCGAAAAACGGTGGGTATCGGAGGTGTAGAGGATAGTCCGTGAAGCATCGTCATTAACTGCCAATCACTGCCATTCACCGGTCGAGAAGACGAAGCCAGGAAGGGAAAGTAGAGAAAAAAGGAAAGTAGACTGCAGACGCTGTGAAGGGAGATTCTAATTATTTATTTACGACGAGCGCGAGAGGCGACGCGCACGCAGCTTCATCGCCGCGTTTGGAGATCCTCGTCTCTCTTTTCAATCTCCTCAATCCTGACACTATTCCACCTCCAGGAAATTCGTCGCGGAAGAAAGAAAAAGAGAGAGAGAGAGAGAGAGAGAGAGACGTCTTTCATTTTGATTACAGTTATTATTAGTTATATCATTAATAAGCGATAATTGACGGGAACGTGTGTTATCCGTAATGCAATCGGACGATCTCGCGCATGTATGATCTTTCGCAGATTTTTAATTCAAAACACGACAGTATTACGACTTTACAAGCAATTTTATTCATTTCCGTGCGCAAAGTTTCTCCCCGCGATCTGAAAGGGCCGTATCAGAAAGAAATTAGTAGTCGCGCATATTAATTGACGGCTCCACTTCGCGCGCGACTTTCCAGCCGCGCACGTAACGCGGTTTTATCTCCGCATTGAGCGGAATCCCAAATTGAATTTCGCGAGGTAAAGCGTAACGACATCGCGCCTTATAAGCGTGGGTGCCCGCCGCCGCCGCCGCCGACGCCGCCGACGCTTTGATATTGGTGAAGTCGCGTGGGAGCCGGTTTTTACTTCGCTAATGATTTCCGCGCTCGCTCAGACGCTAACTTCCCCGACAAATAGGAAAATTAAAGCCGCGTCCGCGCGGACCTGCGCGCGCGCGTAACTCCGTCCTGCTGGGCATTTAGTTACGACTTTTTTATAATTAATACCTCAGGTGGTAAATTAAGTCGGGCGCGGCGGAGAAGAGTGAGAAAGAAACGTTTTGTAAAATAAATACGGAGCGACGTGCACCGACGGTGCCACCCGCGGGTGTGCTCGCGAGGGGAGGTGACGGAGAAGGAGGAGGAGGGAGGAAGGGGAGTGATTCCCCGTCTGACTTTTACCCATTTCACTCTGTCACTCTGTCCCCTTGCCTCTTGGCGAAGCCTTGGACCCCCTTGCCGCCCGCACCTACTCGCGGAACAACGAGTAGCGACGGAGAGGTCAATTATAATGGAAGATTACGTGCCCGCGATTCCGTCTCGCAGTTATAAATAGGTACAAAGAGTATTAAGTCCCTCGGAAGTATTAACCTGGAGAGCCATTGGGAAAACTTCCCGTTGCGCGGAAGCGAGGAAGACAAATAATTGAGGAGAGAGTTTTCGTTTCTCGATTCGCGGGATCTCGGACCGTCACGCTCTTCTGGTATTAACAGCGCGTTCCGCCACGATCCGAATCTCGCGAATTTCTCTGTAACGGCGGTGCGTTCGCATGCGTTTGAAACGTGTTAAAGAGATAATTGGCGTACGTTAACGAGATCCCACGTTCGCGTAAGATTCACCCTCCGTCATCTCGCGAAAGAGCCGGCGAGCCCTAATCATTCTCGCCTTGATTCTCGACGTATCAATCGAATGTATAACAGCACGATCGCGATTGAGAATTAGACGTGCGGTTGCATGTGACGTTTCCTATCGCGCGGCGCTTCATCGATCCTCTATATTCTACGATCCATAGGAACGCAAAGACAGTGCGGACGTTCAAAGGTCTCATGCTGCGTTCCCCCGAGCACTGACTGGCACTGCCTGTTTCTATTTACTTGATCTTACCCAGAGGTTCTCACTGTCGTCACTTGTCTCCGGCGATCGCGCAACTTCGCATCCCGCGATACTTTCGAGCCGTCTCGAAAGCTCTCGCGCTGTTTTATCCACGGTGAGTCAGAAATTTCAGGCGCTCTTCATGTATTTGTCAATACTGAGGATGAACGTGTTCGTGAGAATGTGAACGTTGGAATGAGAGCCGCTGGAGCCTTAATAGCGCTGCGGTGCATCGCCTGTATTAGTAGCAGCGGTAGCAGTCGTGCATAGTTAGGGTTTAATAGCGTGTATTATTGATTATAATATCGCATGATTGGTACAATCACGTCGCATTGTACCTATCAATGCACGGCATGCAACCAACCGACCGACCGACCGACCGACAGACCGACCGTGCATCGCTTGGAATCACCGATGCACGAAAACCCGGCGCATTAAATTATTTATTAGCAGACTGTTTCAGCCGATTGAAATCGACAATTATCAGGCATTCATCTTTGGCGTTAGCTACGAGCTCGTTGCGCAATTGGCACGATTGGCGGTGTACCTTCTGTATAAAAAGTACCGGGAATCGTTAAAAAAAACACAGAATATTTTATTTATTCATCAAAATTTATTTTGTCGCCTTCAAAGTAATCCCCATCGTTTGCAATGCACATGTGAAAACGGCGAAACCAATCTTCCATGCATTTCTGGTAGGCCGATTCTGGTATGGCCTTCAGGACCCGCTGCGAATTCCTTTTGATGTCATCAATCGATGAAAAACGAGTACCACGGAGTGGCAATTTCAGTTTCGGGAAAAGAAAGAAGTCGCACGGTGCCAAATCAGGCGAATACGGTGGATGGTCGACAGAATTGACCGAGTTTTTGGCCTTGTAATCGGCCACAATCGTGGCTCTGTGCGCTGGCGCATTGTCATCGTGTAAAATCCACGAATTGTCTCGCCACAATTCGGGCCTTTTTCGCCGGATATCAGTGCGTCGGCACACGAAATTTCGTTTGCAACACAAAATTTGAGGCACACTCTTTGTTCGACTATTTTTTCCATGGTAAAATTCGCAGAGCAACACTGAGGTAGACTTGTTTGGACAGCTGCCATAAACAAACTAGTTGACTGATCGAGCTCAAGCTCCGGTTGGTAATGAAGGAAGGTAGTGCCAATCTAAAAAAAAAAACTTTTTACCGCTACCTCTTCCGCGGTTCATTTAAATGACAATTTCCCGGTACTTTTTATACAGAAGGTATAATAAAACGGGCTGCATTACGTGATTTATATCACACTGCATTCACCCTCCTAATAATGTAGAATACCGTCAATCCATGAAATAATAATGGTTGCTTACGTATGAAAAAAATAATGCAAACAAACTAATTTCTTTCTTGGCTCGAATACATCACGATTGTCTAACAAGAAGGAGAGTGTTTGAGAAAAAGATTATTTAAAATTACATCATATGTAATATGTCGTACAAAAGCAAGCTAATACGCAATATTTTACCACCAAAAATCTACAATTGGACATATTTATGGATATGTGAATATAACCGCGAATATATATGTATGTATATAAAATATCCGGAACGAGCGGCGAAAACTTTCGAACGGGGTAACAAAGTGCGGACGTAGCGCCTCCGAAATCGTCATCTGCACCCTTTCAAAGATCCCGCAAGCAGTAGCTTTTACCCTGCCATTAATGGCCATCTGCCAGCTGACGAGTAAGAGCGGACGAGGAATGCGAGACACAGTGTTAAAGTAGAAAGAAACGAAAAGAGCGAGAACAGATACAAGTATACTGATACAAAGAGCCATCTCTTTCCATTCGTCGTTTCTCTTCTTCATATCCTCCAACTTGAAAAGAACATGACAAAGAAATAGACAATGCCGTGTTTTTTATCTATGTAAAATTTTAGTGTTCGCGTATCTTCAAAATGGGCAGATTTGGAGATCAATCGTTTACTTGACAAGATTTAAAGGGAAAGTAAAAGAGTGCTATATGAATAAATAAAAGAGAAGCTATATGAATCGATATTATTTATCAACCTCCTTTTCTTTTCTTATCGTTAGTGAGTGGAAGAAAGGAGATAAATTCCTATAAGATGTTGTGATAACGACGGAAGATATTCCGTCACGAAACAATGCAAACTTAATTCTTCTACGACGATAGAAATATAAGGCTACATGTTTCCATATATCATTCTTCAAGTAACCCCCGAGTCAAACTTTCTATACTTGTATCGGGTGTTTTAAACTACGAAAAGTAACTGAGCGATACGCCGGCATGGATGATTCAAATGCAGCGAAGAAACTTCGCTGCTTAGACATTGCTGAATTAATTGCAGTTACTCGGTATTAATGAAATGCTTAGTAATTATGATTACGAGAAAATCTAAATTGATCATCTCGCTTTGTTAACACTCATAACTTAACTATACAATTTAATTAAAGTAACGAATGGCAAAACAG